GGGACACATCTGGCAATCTAATTTTACACACCTTTTGCACTCAGACGGTGTACTGCATAGAGACACTTCAGTGAGAGCTGAGTTCTGGGATAGTGCACAGTTCAGAGGAGAATAGGCATCTATACAGATGCCAGTGGCTAAGCATGTATTGAGCTTATTACAAAAGAATATTTGTATTTATATTGGTACTTGATAAGCCAGTGGCTTTGAGCAATGTTTGATGCAAATCGCTGGTGATGTGTGCCAGTAGCCGGTGGCAACCTGCAAAGTCCAGTGGGATCCGGTGTGTCTCACTGCTACCCACTGTTACTCACTGATACCCACCAGCTAACAGCGGCAGCCACTGGAGACTAGCACTGGACTTCACTGGATACCAGTGGGTGCCGGTGAGTACACCCCATATTCGGTGGAATGTGGTGTAGTTGTCAGTCCCGGGCATATTACTGGGTGCGGGCCCGGGCTGTGAACTCGACGCGCCGCGACGCTTACGTAACGAAGCCGTCACATGACCGTGCTAACTACGCGTGTAAAGCTTTCCCTACTATGCTCTCTGGCTTGCGCCAAGTCCATGCTCCCGGCCAGCCAATAAAATAGTCCGCTGGCGACATAAAGCACGCCGTTTGCCGCCCGCTCGCATCTACCTTCAGAGTCCTTGCACCCTCGACGCAGGAAATGTTCAGGCTGCTGCCCACGCTGATCGATATCGCGGAGACACGGCAGTGGTACCAGATGCCGTCTGGGAAGATGCTCTCGGAGAGAAGCGAGATGCTTTTGAGCTTGCAGGGGAGAAACATCAAGTGGGGCTTGATCGTACTTTAACCCAGATGCAGGTGCAAATGGAGAACCAGATTTATCGGTCGCAAGCTATCTATTGCTTTTTCATCGAAGAATATTTACTGTATTAATGCGGTGGTGCGAGCCTGGTGGTTTCTGGCGTGATCCGCAATGTCTGACTCAGAAATGTCGCCCGCACTCCGAGCGTACGGCAGCATGCGAGACTCGTCTTCTTGCTTCCTCCGCTCTATGATTGACCCAGAATGAAGCCCCTCGAAGGTTCAGCCAGCCCACCGTCACAATCTATTACCTCAGGAATCACTGGTTACAAGCATAAGTTTACGTCCGTACCACTTATTGTCGCATTCGTAGCTATTAGGCATGCCCGCAATATCAATTATGTTATAGCAGGCGAATATATGCGTTCTGCCCCGTTTCCCACAACAAACGACCCCGCCATCTCGATCACCCATGCCTTGCTTCCGGACTTTTAACGCCTCGGTTCGCCTGTTCATGAACGCTGCTTCCCTGTCCCCGGCCCTCGCTCTCGCCCCTACTCTTGCCCTTGCCTTCGCCTTCGCCCACGCCCCCGCTCTTATCCTCGCCCACGCCACGGCCCTCGGACGGTGTGCCGCCCTGTGTTTCAAGGGGCCAACGCAAGCTTGAGGGCCCAGGTCTTCGGTCTTCGGAAGACTGAATGACTAGTGTCGAGGAGCCTTCTTGAAAAATTGTATGACCTGATCCGGCGGGTTCATCTGGCAGGTTTGATAGGGCAGCCAATCCCGCTGGCTGTAGCGGCAACAAGCCGGGTGGCCTTGCCAGTCTGATGATCTTCGGGAGCAGATTGCACTCGGCGTAGTGGCGGCCTGCGTACCAGCTGCCGTGCCCAGTCCAGGGGCAGTCATCGACTTCGCAAGTGGAGCTTTGGTACAGATGGTATTGCCGGTTGTGTGACGTCTCAAGTGCGTTGTGTAGTTGCGCCCGAATACAATCCTGGTCGCCGCGGAGCTTGTGCCGCTTGTACGCCTTCTCAAGCGCATGCCAGAGCTGCCTGTAGAGTGCGCCATATTTCTCCGTTAGTGTTTCTTTTTGTTGATATAGTTGCCGGATCCACTCCCGATGGTCACCTCGGACCTCAACGCCGCTGTCGCCCTGCGAGACGCCTGCCGCGGTATCAAGCGGTACAGCGGAATCAACTGACCAAACATCCACTGCCTTGATTATCTTCTCCAATGCGCCGACCACAACGACCGAAGATGCCAGCCGCATGTTACTGCGAGTGAGCCACTCTATTGACGTAGTGATAAACATCTCAAGGAGGTCCCGGTCAGCATGTGAGAACTCGGGCGGGATGTAGTTCGCCAGGAGTAGCTCGCAATCAGCTGCTGTGGTGTGCCCTTGCTCTAAGGCTGAGAAAATAGATATGATGTTAGTAAATATTCACCTGGATGCTTGGCGTATGCTTACCCAGGCGTTTGTCGGCCACAGAGAACGTGATTCTCTGATCCCGTAGAGCATCTGTGCATGTTCTCTGCACCAACACAGAGGTATTTTCATGCTCGGAGTGATCGAGGACAAACTGAAGGAGGGGCCGCCGCACTTCAGAAACCAGCCCTGGCCTCGCGGAGCGAGCTTCCCGGTATATTTGAGCGGCGACATGAAGGAGAAAATCCAAGGTGCGTTCGCGCGAGTCTTGCTCTACGATGTAGCACTGTTTAATGTATGTGACAACGTGAGAGTTCTGCGACGATTTGGCCACCCAGGACATCGCTCGCATGAGCAGGATGGTCTCCTTGACCTCGACGGACAACTCGTCCATGGTAGCCTTTCGCTCCGGGCCGTCTGGAGTCTCGGCCGAGCAAGCCTTTTCTCCTGCAGCGCGCATGGTTTCGTGCCTTAACTGCCAGGACCCGAAGCGCGGTAACATGGTTCTGCAGGTGACGAGGTCGACGTCGCGCCAGCTGAGCGGCAATTGTTCCCACTCGATGCGCTTGCGTCGTTCCAACAAGTCGTCTTCCATGCCGATCAAGACAATTGCAATGAAGACGAAAAGCACGGGGAATATGAGAATAGTGTAGGCCCAAATGGGTATGTCGGTGGACAAAATTCGCGAAACTGCCCAAGTGTATTAGGCCGCGGAAAATAATATGGTGGAAGATTATGTGACTCGCCCTTAATAAACCTGCACCACCGACGATACAGCAAAGGTGTGCTTGCCCAATTGATACAGATAGTCGCTGAATGGGCCATTATTTTACAGGCCGCCATGACCGCCCATGCTGTTGGAGACTTGTACGGGCACCGACGAGAGAACACAGGCAGGACAGTGAAGACCGCGACCACGAGCAGGAACATCGCCGCGACAGCAGTCACGCAGATCGCAGCAATGTCGTCAAGGGTCCAGAGCAGAATAATCATGCCGATAAGGAAGAGGATCATCGCGATCTCGAGCAGCGCTGGCACCGTCGAGACCACCGCCGAGACGTTCCACGCCTCCCATGCTTCGAATCGGAACTGGCGCACCATAATGTTCGCTCGCGGCGTTGCGAGCGGCGAGTTCCACTGCATGTACTCGCGCACCCACTGCTTGACTAAAATGCCGAGCAGCGCGGCAGCGAGACTGAGGATGAGGCTGATGAAGAAAAGTGTGTTGATCCACCGTGCAGGGGTCGACGGCTCGAACGGTGGCGGGTCGTCTAGAGACATCAGCTAAGGAGGGGAGAACGGGGCTCCGGTGATGATGGCTGAAAACCCTTGGATTAGGATCTGACTGTTTTGGGCGAGTATCTGGTTATTTGTGGTGAGGAGTTGGTTCGTCAGGTCGGCGCTCGATGGCTGAAGCATCGTATAGGTCGAGACAACAAATGCGGTGAGGATGGCAGAGAATAGACCAGCCTTGACGGATGTTAGGTCGACATAGTACGACAACAAGGATGGGGAACATACGAAGACGAGGAGGGTATCGATATCCTCAGAATATCCTTTCATCTTTCCTTCGTCGTCCGTCGCAGCAGTGTCCTCTATTCCGGCCCAGCCAGAGAGACCTGAGGTGCTCTGATGCAGAGAAATGCGGAGATAAGCCGCCGATGTGAGACTCAATTGAGACCTCGTATGCGTACTTTGCCAGCATCCGGGCCGTCCTCCCACTTTCTGCCTCGTGAGGTCTTCATGCAGGTCTCAAATGTACTTGGCGATGACAAAAATGATTAATGAAGCCTAATGAGGTGGGGGAGTGAGGAGAGCGATGGCGGAAGGTCGGTGGAGAGAATCTCAGACTAGGGATGGGTGAGCGGCAGTAGTCAAGTCACATCTCGATGCACGAACCATGCATGTCGGATGTGCCTTTGCCTCGTGTTGGCGTTGGCCGCTGGAATGGAATCAGAGCTCGGCCGTATGCTATCACATCGCACGGTGGTCTGTCATTCCTCCGACAGTTCTCCATTTGAGACGGCAGGTTGCTTGAGAAGCCTATGTGGAATGCAGGTGACTCACTCTTTCATCGCTGTCTGACGGAAAGCCTCACCTAACCTATGTCCAAGCCGGTAAAGGATGACAGCCATCATTGATCGCCGGCTGCTGAATACAACGGCCTACCCACGATGTGTCTGGAGCTGTCCGAGGCAGTCCCTCAGTTTGTTCGGCACTGCAGGGCCACGGCAATGTCTATAGTTCAGTGAAAGTTTTGGGCAAATAGTTCACGTCAAATGCGAGTGCATTTCTCATCGTACTCTGACTAAACTTGCCAGGAAGCACCTCGCGGCGTCGTGGGGATAAAAGCGTGTAGCACGAACATGGAAAGGAGGAAACAGAGGCGACCACAGAGCCTTGTGCGCGCATCCCCCAGGGCACATCAAGTGAACGAAATGTTGGAAAACAGGAATAACAATTGCGTTTCTCCAACGGCAACATCCCGTCGTTTCTGTAAGGTATCATCCTGTTGCGGATTTATAATGAAATTTATAGGCGGACAGCCGCTCGGCGGCGGAAAGATGGCTAAGCAGATTGCTGGCTGAAACTCTGGTTCCCCTTTGAAGATGCCGCTGTGAAGCACCCGCTCAAACGGGCCAAGGGCGTCGAATCTTGCGGCTCGACCTGAGGAGGTCGCCGTCCTGGCACCACTACCGTCCCTACCGCGGATGCACTGTCGATCCTGCTATGCGAGGCCGCTTTCATGACTTGGAGCATGTCCTGGACGATGGCGCGGACGATCGACACACGCGTAGGCACCGTGCCATATTGCAAGAGCCATCAAACGGTGCAAGCGCGTGTTTGCTTAGGGCTTAACTTGTAGCGCAGGTCCGTACAGTTGGGGACATCAGGGGTGGCGAGGGAAGACGACAGGCAGGACGAGAAAGTAGAGACGACGAGCAGGAGTATTAGGACGGAGATGATGACGAAGATGGCATCAATGCGGTCCAAGGAAACGACCATGCCCGCGAGGAAGAGGATTATCGTGATTTTAATCGGCGCAGGTGTTGCTGCAGTTGTTGCTTCCATGTTCCACGCCAATCGTGCCCCGAAGCGCATCTGGACCACGAAAGTGCCCTTACGTGGCGATTTAAGGGTGAATTTCACTGCATGTACTCGCGGAGCTACTAGATCTTGAACAACGTAGCTGCAAGGCTAAGGCCAGAGCTGGTGACAAAGAAGGTGTTGATGAGCATATGTATCGACCGTGAAGGGCCGGGCCCGCGGATAGCGGTGCTCACCGCAGATGCCGAGGGCCCAGTACTTCGAAGCCGGAGGCCTTGTGCTAGCAGTTGGATCGCGGATGCAAGCGATTTGTTGGTTACGTCCGAGATGTCAATCGCAGGAGCCGGTACGTCTGCAAGTAATAAATACCGGAGAACAGACCCGCCTAAACCCGCCGAACTCGGTTAGCAGATAGGAGCAGACGAATTTTGCTAGGTCACATACAAAGACAAGCGGTATATCGATTTTCTCCAAAAAAAATAAAAATAAAAACCTTGCACCCGCCTTCGTATCTTGGCGTGTGGTGTTCGATTCGGCATAGCTACCGAGGCCTGCATGTTCCCGGTGGAGTACGTTCTCATGCCACTCCAAGGACGGTGGGTTTCAACACATACACTCATAATCAGCTGCGGCATCTTTGGCGGCATGAGGTGTAAACTCGGGGGCTGATATTCTTGAACGTGACAGTTAGACAAAGTAGTTGTGCGAAGCATGTCTAAAGTTCGGTAACTGAGTAAAGCGTTGCCAACCAAAGAGATAGGAGACGCGCCTGGATGTTATTGAAGCTCTTCCGACATAGCACCTTTATCTCGTCACTCAGCATGCGTTTTTTTCGTTCATAAATAACTCAGATCCAAAGCCTTGCATCAGGAACGCTACAGTGTCTTAAAACGAACATTTGCATGCAACACAGAGTCATATCACGCCTTCATAGCCAAGAGAGGGGTATGCCACTCGATTGGAGAATACCAGTTTATAGACGAAGTACAGTGTTTGTGACACATATTCAAGGTACACCATTGGACCTGCTTAGCAGAAGTCATATCAAGCAATGTAAGCATGCGCACCAAGGAGACAATTGAATGGTCCGTTGCCAGCATAAAAGAGAACTGTCCGTCTTCCACTCCGTTCCAGAGTCATTAGCGCCACGCGGAAGCGACCACTACCCCAGAGAATACACGGATGGCCTTGCCACGGTGCTTTCGGCTTAAAGCCGACATGCATGCTATTAGCGAGCCCGAGAGTGACCGGCGGCTGGTGTCAAGTTGAAAGGAAAGAGAGGTTGTGTGAAGATATAGGTACGTGCATGAACTTCAAGCAAGAGCAGGATGGTCGTAGGCGCTTAGGCGAAATCTCCACGTGACTCATGCCAAACTTTAGATCAGATCATCTGAAGCGTCGAATCGCAACTCGGAGCGGTTCCTACTACTGTCCTGATCCTTGCAGCACGCTCCCTTCGCTGAGGCGAACGATACAGGCTCATTTTCTGATATTTAGAACCTGAAGCGATGAGCACTCTCCATCCCGTGCTTCTCCCTGAGGTCGTCCATGCCTAGTGATGTGCGGGCCGGTGTCATGCACCATAATTATAAGTATAGGAAAACTAAAGGAATAATAGGTATTCAAATCAAAAAGAAACCGCTTACTCAGAGCTGCAAAGTAAGCATAAACACTTAAGCTTACTAAAAGTGAATCAATGACTAATAATATGACTCAGCTTCTTAGTAATCTAGAAACTATGCTTAGTAAAGGTCTATGCTCAACAGTTATGAATTACCAAAATATAGTAATACTCTAACAAACATTAGTAATAGCTTACCAATACATTAGTAAAACAGACAGAAGGCTGACTAATACAGACAAAATGCTTATTAATAAAAGTAGAAGTAGCTTAGTAATTACAGTAGAATAGAAGAGCCAGTTTTGCTATTGGCTAAGGAACAACAGGCTGAAAGGTATAAATAGGAGAGGTTCTCTGAGACACAACGAAAACAACCAACCCACCAAGCACTACACACACTCTCAAGGATTTAGCTAGCAGCAAACCTGCAGTTAATCCCCTGAGCTCTTTAGCTCTCAGAGAATAGACTCCTTTCTTTAAAGCCTAGGAAATTCCTTAAGCACAGTAGAGCCTCTGACTTTCAAATAACCTGAAGGGAAACGCCCTTGGTATAGTGCACGAGTTCACTATTTGACTAACCCTAGACTGCGAGAGCTAGTGGCGTCATTATTTGAGACTGTGGTACATCTCCTGTAGAGCTTACAGTAATTAGACTAGCAGTAAAAAGATTAAATCTATTCTTGATCTTTAACTCTAAATTGGAAGCTTCAGACTGCTTCAAGTTATACAAATCCTCTA